CGAATCTGGAGTCTTAAATGGAACTTTGTTCAATTTACTATTCTCGTTATATTATATGTGGCTATAGTGGCAAGGCTATACAATAAATTGAGATAAGTGAAACATTTTTTAGTGTAGTTTCACCATTGAAATTGAAAATTACTATTTGATATACTTTGTAGATGTTATTTATGAAGCTATTTTGAACATATAAAACGTATTTGTGTTTTGGGAATTGTATTACCATGTAGTACACACATAGATAGTGTACATTATGTCGTACTTGAATAGCCTGATTTAAACAGTGTGTCTCATAAATATATTACACTTACAAAAAGTTCAAGATCTTTCATGATTTTTCCTTTATCTCTAAAATATATATTTAGATACCAAAAGACCAGTCTTTCTGGAATAAATCTACACAATCAGATTCAAAATCCATATATGATTGGCTGCACATGACAGATTTTATAGATGCATGTGAAATTTGATTTGCGCCAACTTCTCAGTGGTTGGACATGTAGTGATCAATTCTTTTTTGATGTAAATGCTGTGGACAGTGATATCTTGATATGATCCAGTTGTTTCTTTCCTGGATAGAAATGCAAGATTTTATTGTCAGAGTGTTCAATTTGAAAAAAAGAATTCGATGTAGCACTTTTTAAAAAAATCATAAAAGTTCATTTTTCAAAACAAAGTCTATAATGGTTCACAAATTCTTCTAAAATGTTTCATTTCTCAAAACGATTCTCGTCATTATTAATAATAAAAAACAGCGAATTGTGTTTCAAAGTTATTAAAGAGAGAATCAGATCTAGCGAGCAGCATAACAAAAAATTGTTTCAATCTTAGAATATTTCTGGCTTTTGTCAATTCTTTTCATGTCTATTTTCAGAAAATCCCCAAAGTGTACACCTTTTTCAGGAAAACTAAGGACTTATACAATAACGTATTATTTTCTATAAAAATGGTTACCATTCTTATAATTTGGGAGAATTTAAAAAAATCACCCATTTTTGCACTTTGGATCCATCTAATTTATAACTTCATCAATTTATAACATTTCGTGAATCTTTTGGGAGATATTGTATTTGAGATCATAAGGAATAGTTTGGTAGGTCAATTGTTCATGTTACTTAGAAATGTGTCAGCCCCATAGATCTGGTTCTGCCTTCAAGTGCAGATTATTTTTTATTTTTTTATTCAAAGAAAGAAATAGTATGTATTTGAGCACTATGTATTCTTTGTTACAAGGCATCGGAATTTAAAAAAGTAGAGTCTACGGAGCACAAATTGATATCTTGAGTACCAATTGAGAGTATTCGTGTAGCCATAAAGACTTTTATATGTGCGCCATGATTAAATAAATATTACATTCTTCGAAACTATTTGCTATTATCTCACTATTCAGTAACTAACTGTATGTTGATAAGGTTTTTATGAACACTCCTCTATTATAAAATGAAATATCATATAAAAAAAATTTTGAATTGGAATCTTTTCGTCTTACCTCAGTATTGAAGTTTGGGAATCGCATGTTTCAGAATTTGACATGTTGAACTCTAAAGTCTCAATGAATAAAGAATGAAGAATTCTCCCTAAAATATCTGGTTTTAAAAAGTATGTTCCTTAAAGATATGTTGGGATTGCCCTTAAATGTTTGTTAACTCTTGATTTGGATTTCCTGCATCCGTCGTCCAATGTTCTCTCTCAAAATCTCTCTATTATGAGATTTTTCACAACCCTCGTAGTAATACAAATTAAATTATAAATTGATGATAAAAACTGCTATACTAACAAATATATAGGCAAAATTCATATTTACTAGCTTTAATATTGTATTTCAATCCCCATCAGGGATCATATACAAAGCATGCATACTATAATTCCAAATGAAAAACAGACTATTTTCCCCATTTTGAGCTCATTTATCTTGAAAATAATTATGATAAAATTTAGTATTATTATGCCCAATCATTGACTGTCATTATTCACTGTATCTTTGTATATGTTTTTGTATGTCAATCAAACATACGTGTATGCCTCTGCTTGTGGCTTTGGCCAAATTACTTCCTAATCATCATCTTTGTTAATCCTGTAGCCCCTTGGCGGGCTCTCACACCAACATCCCTTGACTGAAGCAGCTGACCTTAACCCCTCCCCCTCATCAGGCTAAGGTAACTGGACTTGGAGCAGAGACCGGACCTTGTAGAAAGTACAGCATCCCATCATGGTAAAATATGATAAAATCACACCTAACCTGTCAAAAGCTAATAAGAAAATATCATTTTTCACATTTCCAATCAGTTTTTACATCTCCTTAGGAATAATATGACAAAACAAGTGTATGACACCATTTTTACCTCATTTGCGATGCTAACGTCTTATAATTCTGTAATTAAGAAAATTACTAACTAAATATAATATAAGCTTACCCCTGGGCCATCATAAGCTAAAATGAAAATTTTGATTTTTAAGAAATGTCCAATCATTTTTCTACATCTCGTTGGAGGTAATATGATAAAACAAAACTATATGCACCATCTTGAGCTAATTTGAGATGCATATATTACAAATCTTAAAAGTTATTGAGGTAAAATATAGTTAACCCTGGCCATTTAGAAGCGAAAATGATTTTTTATAATTCTCAATCATATTTTTACATCTAATGAGGAATAATATGACAAAACAAGACTTAATGCACCATTTTGAGCTCATATGAGACACATATATTGCATATCTTAAAAATTATTTAGGTAAAATAAAGTTACCCCTGGGCTGCAAGGGCTTAAAAATTCAAATTTTGATAATTTTTATCTTAAAAAATACATGAGCTACCCGGGGCATATATTTTATTTGTGATAAACACCTGCTCCCCTATTAGTATGAATTTTTCCAGGATGATAAGACATTACATTCTTGTAATACAGTACTTGATGTCCCATATTTTACCTCACTTAACACAACTTCTACAATGGGTTTATCCCAATTTCAAGGCTAAAGCAATCATCAAATGAAGTCATTTAAAGAAATATACTTTAAAACCATTTTTTTATAATGTACCCCCTCCCCGCCTGGTAGGGGTGGGGGTCAGAGACTAAAAAATCCATGAAGACCATCCCAAATCACTTGCCCCGAAATCATTTTTCACTCAGATCAAGTGTTTCTACAACTGTGCCAAGTTTGTTGCTTTCCTGAAAAAGATGAACTATAAAGGGCTCATTTCTGGACGTCTGACTTCGCTAAGAGTGACCTTCGTTCTTGCCAAACATTTTTGGGCCCCTCTCCTTTGCTTTTTCGCGGCCACCTCTGGTGTCTTCGACTCCCCGCCCTCTACCAAAAGCTGGTAACAGGCATGTCTTCAAACATTCGTTACATTTGACATTCTTCCAAAAAATTAAATAATCAAAAAAACTAACTCAATATTTCAGAAAATGTAAATAAAAAGTAAAATAGTAATATATAGCGACATTTTTATGACTCGCTTATCGATTGAAGTCTATGTATTTTTAAATTTCCAGGGAATGTAATATAGCCAGCTTTCCAGAAACACTTTTCTTTTTCAAGTTTTGTTGTTGTGCATTTTGATTTCTTTTTTTGCTGAAATTATATTAAATAGATAACCAAAAGCTATCGTTTGGTAAAAGAGAGTAACATTTTCTTCATCATTTGCGAGTCAGGGTTTCTTCCACACATCAAAGTGTCATTTGCAAAAGAGAAAAATTGTTGTTAGAAACAGTTTTTTTTCCAAAAATAGACAAAGAAGGATAAAATTCAATTAACCATAACTTTTTTAAATTAAAAGTTAACTTGAAACAATTTTGAGATTGCACTCTACAATCATATGGTCATAATATCACCCGGAACTTAAACTCTTTGAAGAAAGTTTATTTTTATCAAATTCCAAAGGCTAATAGACTAGATGCGAGTAGAAATAATCTTGATTTACGTCATTAATATTCAAAATTCAGTCAAAGCGATGTCATATTTGAAATCTGCATGTAAATGTACATCTAGAAATATGGTTTCGAAAATTGTCTATCAACTTTGAAAATTTAATTTTTTTTGAAAATGTGACTTATTGTTCGGGTTGATTCCTCATAGACCCCATGTTAGAAAATCACAAAAAGTGAATTATCTTTTCTTGTATTGGACAGATAACATTTTCTTTTACTGGACATATTTTAATTTGCATAACTATTAGATACATAAGGGTTATATGAAAATTGAACCACGCAAATAGATGTAATTTAAGTTAAAGGGAACTTTCTACTATCCCCGCCATGCTATCTGACATGAACGAGCCACCTGGTGGTGAATCTGGTAACAACCTACTCGCATCTGCGTTATTGAACGGTTTTATTGAACCTGGGCGAAAAGCGCAATAGCGGCCATTTTGAAAAATGGGTAATAACACCCATAAAGCTACCACTGCTACAATGCTATCATATATTTTCTTACACTGGAGTTGTTTACCTTGCCAAAAATCACTATAAGCATTATTCCCCTAACTTGGTACCGATAATCTAAATTCTGGGGTGAAGCTGATGGCCTAAAATTAGAATTGATCGATAAAATATGCATTTCTATACGTATCAGTACAACGAAACGACAAACTTCAATTCACTTATGCTTTCACACATGAGCGAAATCTCTCTATTATAACTTTCACAACCCTCTTAGTAATACAAATTTAATCATAAATTGATGATAAAAACTGCTCCTAGCAAATATATAGGCAAAATTCATATTTACTAGCTTTATTATAGTTCAATCCCCATCAGGGATCATATATAAAGCATACTAAAATTCCAAACTATTTAAACTACAGTATGACCTTGTCTATATAGGAAGGTTCGTTCAAGCCAAACATTTTTGGGTCCAAATTTTCCAGAATTCCCTTGCATTTTCGGGGCCACCCCTGGTGTCTTCAACCCCCTCTACCAAAAGCTGGTTACAGACATGTGTTGTACAAACGCAACTGCATTTGATATACTAAATCTACTATTTGATATACTATATCCTTTCGGATAACGAGTTAAGTTGTGGTGTGTAACATTGTGAACATTGCCAATGTTTAAGAATGAAGATTAACATCCAAAAATGAACATTGTCTGTCCATAATTCTGACGAGATATTTCCTCTTCTTTCAAAAACTCCTCGTCACTTTTGATTGACTTTCGAAATGTTTTGTAGTCCTCAAGATATTTCTCCAAAAGTCCCAACCTTTCAAGATTTGCAAACGAAGACATGGAGTCCCTGACATCCTGCAAAGAAGAATGAATATGAACACTTTCCACCAAAGGCTCACTGGTTTAGGCATTAACAATTCCCCTAATGGACAAAAAATGAAATATAACAATACCATTATTCGACATTGGGATAATGTAAGTATGAAGAAAATAATCTGTAAGTCTACACATCTGTTTGAAATGTCCATCTAGATCTCATGAGATAAATACAATACACAAACCTGCTTGAACGGTCCATCTAGATCTCTATGTGTCTCCTTATTCCACAGTGTAGCTGAAGCAGGAATCACAATCTCTACATTTTCCATGCCGATTTTCTGATAAAAACAACGATATATTCTATAAATGATTATAGGCAGTGTATTAATAGTTATATATTGACTCTGAATAGACTCCATCATGTACAGTTCGGGCCAAAGAACGCAACTTTTTTTTAAAATGCTATACCTTTTTTTAACTTTCGATCCGAAATCATAATTTACATACCAAAATGAAACCTGAAGATGCAATCTACCCATGGATTGTAAATTGTACACTACAGGGTGGGCCAATAAAAATTGGAACATTTTTCTATTTATTCAATTTTCTTTATACTTGCAGTTCAGTCCACAAAAAATCAGATAATGATAAAATGATTATTTGTTAAAATGTTAATGATAAAAATATGCATGTATGATTATTTTTGGCTTGTCATGGTCATAATCTGTATACTGCGTCAGTCATGAAAATTTTCCAAATTTTCTCTGCTTGAGACATCGTTACTGGAAATACAGTATCTCATACCATACAATATATGCCCTTCAAATGGTCTCAATACAATTTCTATCAACTAAAACATTATGTAGTTATTTCTAGGAGAAGCTAGACATGTCTCCCTTGGATAATATAGCTTAATTGACCTCAGCTTTTTTTCAAAACTGGCACAATATGTCTCAAACCTATCATTTAAGCCAACCATGACTTTCAAATACAGGTCATACTGATTGATCAGGTACGTGGGTGGAGAACATGTTCAGTAATTAAATGTTGAGCTTGTATATTCATATTTACAGAAGCTGTAATAGTCAATTTTCGAAGTATCGAAGATAATACATGACTAATACAAAAAAGTTACAATCAATGGAAAAATGTTCCAATTCTTTTACTCAACACAAGGGTTGTCCCCCCCCACCTGAACAATAAGTCTGAGCTCTATTTGACAGTCATTCATGGCTTAAATGACAGGTTTTGAGGCATATTGTGCCAGTTTTGAAAAGAGCTGAGGTCAGTTAAGCTATATCATTCAAGGGAGACATGCCTTGCTTCTCCTAAAGACAATTACATATGTTTTAATTGACGAAAATTGTGTTGAGACCATTTGAAGGGTACATATTGTATGGTATGAAAGATACTGTATTTTCAGCAGTGATGTCTCAAGCAGATAAAATTTGAATTTTTTTTATGACACATGCAGAATACAGATCATGAGCATGACAAGCCGAAAATAATCATACATACATATTCTTATCTTTAACATTTCACAAATAATCATTTTACCATTATCTGAACTTTTGTCGATTCAAAGCATAACAAAAATACCTTTCTGTTGGTACATTATTCTGTTATACAGAGTTCCTACTTTCAGCGGCATTTTGGTCCCCAGCTGTGAGAAGGGCTTCTCACGCAATCTTTGATTTTCAAACATCTGGTAGGTCAAAAATTCAAATTAACGGTCGTAGTTAGTACCGCGTGTATATGTAGGTTGGAAATGAAAAAGTTATAGTGTCTTGAAAAATGTGGCGTTTTTGGCCCACCATGTAGTCTATTAGGCTATATGTATTGGGAATACGATGCTTGCATGCTATGAACATGTCATCCAAAACACTGCTTACCTTTAAATATTGCTTAAACTTATCAGGACTAATCCCAACAAGTTTAGACTCTATATTTTGATATTCCTCAGTCGGTAGCCATGTATAGGCGTTTCTAATCTGACACGGCGTTGTAGTTTGGAAAATTATCACTCCTCCATATTTCAAAATCTGCTTTGATCTCTGAAAAACACATGGATTACTGACTGAAATCAGCTGAGCATACTACAGTTGTTGGACCATAAACGAGATGTCGAGTTTTTTTAATGCATTTCTCTTATGCTTTTAATCTAAAAAACATAAAACACTTTAAAACATTTTATTGGGTGTAAGATTACACCATGTGATCCCAAATAATATGTTTCTCATTTTCATGGAAAATCCACACATATTAACACCTGGGTAATTCATTTCCAAAACTTTACAGTGCTTGGAATTCTTGTTACGGGGTCTTAGAACAACAAGAATGCTGTATTAAATAGGTGTTGTACTTATGCGAATACTTGCTCAAAATATCTCAGTGGTACCAAATCTAAAATCCATTGAACCCATAACCCTTTTTTGGGGGGGATATGTTAGCTGGCTCTCTGATCATGAAGTAAAATTGTTGTTAAATAAAGATGTCAGATAAATCTGGTTAAAAACAACTTAACCCCAAATGGCATAAGTACATATTATGTAAGTCATCCATAATGTTTTTTATGCATGAGGTATCCAGACTATATAGTAGTAACCAAAACCCCAGAAAATCCAGAAATATGTCCTGTTGAAGAACCCTAATTTTTATTACTTGGAACCATTAGTATTGATATTGCTCTAATGATTCCTGTTTTTTAAACTAAATCGCTTGGAGTTTTTTGAAGTTATGGAGGATTTAAGCAAGGGGCGATTTTCAAGAGTTATTTGAAAATATTTTCAAATGAAATTTCTAATATCAGAAAAATAGGTTATCAAATGTTGTTGTCATCAGATAAGACAATAAACTCTATTTTTAATTTTTCCTTTTTTCTTTGATCTTCTAACTGGTTACCATCACATTTTTTCTTTTTAATCTATGATCTTCCAAATGGTTATCATCACATTTTTGGTCGTAAAAGATCAAAAACAATTTTTATCTAGGAGGCAGAAAATAAGACCAGATTTTGTGTTTTTGTTTTTTAAAGAATTAAATGATATCTAATTATTGTTCAAATTGTTTTATCCGTGGAAAGCGAGAAATTGTTCAAAAACATCTAATTAGTTAAAAAATACGCTGGTTACAAAATAATTTTTAAGAAAATCTCAAACTATCTTGATGTGTCTAAACACTTTTGGGGTGTAGCTTTGCATGATACTATGCATTTCTAAAAATTAAAAGTGAATCCCTTGGGCAGAATTTTACGAAACAAAATAAAAGTAAAGAAAAATCTAAAAAAAATAGACCCTTAATTACACCCTTAATAACTTTCATATACCTGAATTGAGTGGCCTGATTATAGCCAAAATTAACCAATAAATGACCATATTATGTTTTTCTAGTAGAAATGTGTGAAGTTATCTATAAACAGAGCATATCATAGTGAATTTCTAAATTGGATTTTTGATAGGAGTTTTGCTCATAAAAGGACCCCTGTTAAACTCCGCCATAACTTACTAAAACTCCAAGGGATTTTGCTAAATTTGTAAAAACAAATCAAGGACTGTCTATATTTCTATTTCAACGCATTTTTTGGTTGACACGAATAGGGGATTGACATTTACAAACAAACTGAACTGACATGTGTATAGGCTATGTTTACAAGTCCAACTTCCATGGTTTAGAGAATTCAAAACTTACTCACTGATAGCCACACTTTTTATTACATTGATATCTGGAACCAAAAATAAGCATCCCCGACATTGATCCCTAGGGAATTGCATCGGCCAATTTTTGTTTCAAATCCTCTTTGCATGCCTCCATATTGAAAACATTTTGGAGTTTTTCAATTTTGAACTTCTTGTTCACTATTAAAGCACAGCCAATATATAAAACCCCATCCAATTAATATGAAAGACTCATCAACAAGGTACATGATGATTTGTTTTTTGTTAAGATTTGCGTGTGTCAACATTTTCGATATAGTACAGTTAACAGGGGAGGGGGCCTGGGACTTAACTGATAATGTATAGCTTTTTGTGCTACATTCAACTTTTAACACGCTCCCTTATCTTCTTCTCTAACAAATAAAGTAGATAACAGTAGAACAAGTGACCCGTCATCATTTCTATACTTAATCAAAGTAGAGTGAAACCTGTTTATCTGAACACCTTCCAATCAGAACCCATTTTCCTCCCATGTTAAAGCGGAACTAATGGTTGGCTCTTTGTTCATCTCAATATGTAGCTTTGTGTGTAATTGCGAAAATAAAAATAAAATTTAAAAAAAATTAGCTTATTTTAAGTGATAACATTGAAAAGAATAATACCAATTGACCCACTGACATGTAGTTAATGGAGATAGCCATTTTGCATCAAGGGTACCTGAAGTGTGACGCCATATCGATGTTGGTCGCCATTTTGTAACCCAAGAAAAATGGTACGATATACCCCAAAAACATATTCTGACAAACTCAATAAATGACCACCTCGCTTTATTTAAACATTTTTCATTCATTCCAGACAAAATCCAAATAGTTTTGATAGTGTAATACCCCTTCATAAGCTGATCAATACAAAATATTGTCACAGTTTGACTCCCGATATTAAAGAGACTTTATGAAAACAATATCAGAGATTATTTATTTACTTGTGATGTTAAATAGTGACTTATTTATTGATAATGGCGGCATTTTATCGCTTTACATCCAGTCCTTTGTGTACTCTGTATGTCCTTTTACTTTAATTTCAATTACGGTGGCAACTTCCGGTCTATGTTTTCGTGAATTTTTCAATCAGTTTTCTTTTCCTAAGTTAAACTGAGAAGTATTACCTGTTAACATAAATACACTGAAGTGTATAATGATGAACTCTCAAAATATAAAACCCCAATGTTTCAATTTACAATGTCATTTCATTGTTTCTAACAAGTCGCCGCTTTCTTTCTTTTCATATTTTTTGCCAAGTCAAAGTCCGCGCTTAAAGCCTGATTTCTTTAAAAGCTACATGTATGCTAAAGAAAGTATCAAATAACAAGAACATTTCAAACCTTACATCCTACATTGATTTGATGTGAAACAGTGATCATTAACATGATTTTTGTGCTGTTAATATACTAAATATAATGAATTATACTTATTTTGTGAGGTTATTTCCCACTCGTGGTCGTATGCTTTCAACCCCTTCCACCCCTGCTGCTTTTTAAATTTTTATCGCATCAACATGTTGTGTTTTGACACACAGTTAACCACTTTTAAGGAATAAGTAATTCCTACAGGGGTTTTAAAGATATCCATTATGGGTGACCAAAATTATGGGAAAATAACATGGGATATATATTGTTTACCACTTTATCTAAAAGGAATCACGTATTCCTTTAAAGGGGTTAACTGTGTGTCAAAACGCAATATATTTATGCAAGAAAAATACAAAAACCGGAGTGGAAGGGGTTGAAAATCAGGAAAACATTTCAGAAAAAACATCTGGGTGGGTTGTTTGCATCTACCCTGTCTCAAAGTCGAAATTATTTTATCATCTTTAGAGGTGCTTTTCCTGGAAGTTATGCATTGGCCTAACATATGCACCTGTTTAAATCCTCAGAAAATAGCCAAAATCCAACATATGACTGTCCGAAATCTGTTGCGCTAATTTCCCTCCTACTTTTCAAGTTTTATTTGTGATACCAGCATGAAAGCATTAATTTTCTAATCCTACCGAAATATGAACTATTGTCTGCCGGATCTAGTCCCTCTTGAGCTTCTGGGAAATACAGCCCCAGCAAGTGGTAGACTGTGTGGTCCCAATCCGACCGAATATAGGGTTACTGTTCCTTTGTATTACTGTAATATTGATAGGTCTAAAAACATGTTGTATATGCTAGTATTTTGTTCCAACAAGAATGAAATGAAAGACTTTCATTCTCAAGAATTGGTAGAAAGGAGCAAAAACAATTGCACTAAATAACAAATAATGTTAACAAAAACAGTTATATAAAATATTTCTAAATAATTTTCGCATTAAATTGTTGTCAATCAGTCAACATTACATGAAATACCGTGTTTTTTACAGAATTTTTTCAATGATTGTTTTAGGAGAAAACATTGTTGAATTCAGTTCTCCATATCGATACCACTCCTTTACTGAAAATTTCTACAAAGTAGCCTTAGAGTATTATTAGCAAGTTGAAAATATTAAAAAATATCAAATAAATATTCAGTTAGTACTAAGAAATTCAAAATAGCATGTCAAAATATCCTGTACCATAGCTTTGCGATAAGGCCTCCATAGTGTTTGTACCATATCAAAATAGCTTATCTGTGTGTAATGTCTAATTAATTTGTTTCATTCTTCACAAATATCAAAAATCCATTCATTCTAAAAATTCATTGGAGGTGATATTGTGAGGATAAATACGGAAAAGTATTCTTGCTTAGAAATGGATTAATAAGTGACTTTTACATTGGTATTACTTATTTCGACATACTGTCTTTAATTCTTAAATACATACATAATATACAACCAATCCCTTACATATTCATGGCACTAGCAGGAGATACCCAAGCGTGCCTCATGTAAAGTTTTCAAAGAATCTGGCTCATCCATTGCGGAGAAATTACTTGTCAAATTGCTTCTCATTTTTGGTACAAACGCTACCTCATTGTGTTGCTTCGGTATGGGATATTATGGCATACTATCTCGGATTTCGTAGTCCCCACATTTACTTGATTTTTTATATATTTTTGTATCTTCTAAGGATACTCTTGGGCTACATTATAATTTTCAGTGAATTTGGTTGATCGGTTGCTGAGATAATACTTGTCAAAACGTGGCTCATTTTTTGGGACACCCGATATAGTTCACAATGGATAATCGTTTTAACCAACGCGTTATTTGTTTGGAATAAAAGAGGTGAAGCCGCTTAAGTTGTCAAGTATTATTATACTATATCTTATTCACTGTTATAAAGTATATAAGGGTTATGTACTGGGAGGTTTTGAATACAGGGTTTATCGTAAGGGATATACAAGTATGTGTATTCATTCAATGGTCAGAACAATCAGGTATATAATAGCAAGTGATAAATCACATATTCGGGACAGGGGCGATTTCAGGGATGATTCGGTATTAGAGGGATGATATTGATATCATCCCGGGTAAATTTAAAGATCTTACATTAGGCTGTGTCAGCCGGGAATGGAACCCGGGTCTACTGCTTGGAAGGCAACAATGCTAGGGTTTTCATCACTGACGCTCTTAAAGGGACCCACCACCTTACAAAACTTCTTAACGTAGAGGAATAAGGGAAAATGCTTGCCGGATTCTGAATCAGTGTATTTTTGAATCTTCTAAGGATACTCTTTAGGCTACTTGGGCTACATTATAATTTTCAGTGAATTTGGTTGATCGGTTGCTGAGATAATACTTGTCAAAACATGGCTCATTTTTTGGGACACGCGATATAGTTCACAATGGATAATCGTTTTAACCTAAGGGTTATTTGTTTCGAATAAAAGACGTGAAGCCGCTTTTATTGCTTGGAAGGCAACAATGCTAGGGTTTTCACCACTGACGCTCTTAACAGAACTTTATTTGATTATAATTCATAAAGAATAAATATAAAAAAAAAAATAATAAAATGTTTTACTTGTAATATCAGCAATACCTCATAACATAAATTAAAACAGAAAAAACGATGCGTCAGCCGGGAATCGAACCCGGATCTATTGCTTGGAAGGCAACAATGCTAACCTAACTTACAAGTACAAAACATCATTACACTATTCGAGGATGGAAAATTAAAATTAAAAATATAACTCGCTTGTAACGTTTTATAGATCTTTAGATATTCTCCCTCGGAGTTTGGTGAGTTCTCTACGTGATGAAGTGTTTGATTAAACATAACAGCATCAAATGTATCATCGGGGAAGTCTAGATCTGGCATGATACCGTGTTTGACCTCTGCCCTGCCATCTGTAAAGACAATGAGTTAAAATAAATAAGTTTAAACATCTTAAAGCATGATGATCCCTCCAACACTAACCCACCAATCCATTCATCTAATATCAGAAATATCAGTCTAAACTTTACACTTGATTCTGCTTTCCAAAGATGTTTCACAGGTAATGCTTTCACGTTTGCTAAATGCAACGGTTTGATTGTCATAATACATAGGTATCAAACGAACTAAATAACTGTAAGTTCATAAGGTCACCACAAACACTCCTCTATTCTAAAATATATATTCTTTATTGAATACCTATAGTCAATACTATAGTCAATACAAGTAACAATTTTTTTGCAATCAAAGAATTGTGTCTCTGTGTAACTACTAAAAAAGTATCATGTTTCAATTCAGAAAAGACCACGTGCAGTATGGCAAGTGATTTAAGACGGTCATATCTTTCACCATGAGTACTTTCTGGGCATAAATACAGTTGTCGTTTTTTTAATAGGGACCCCATGTCAACATTCTTTCAAATTATTGAACCTATTTACTCAAAAGAGGATCTTCTTTTCTGATTCCCCATTGCATGAAAACATAATTCAACAAGGGGTCTAAGACATGTGTTCAAAAGTAGAATGGTATTGAAAGTCTAGTTTTGAAGATATCAATTTTCGATGACCAAAATTATGCTGAAAACAATGGATAGCACGAGTTTTCCCTATGGGAAAATAACATGGGATGTGTGTTTTTTAACTTTAACTCATTTCAATACCCATCCCCTTTTCAGAAATTGTTAATATAGTGTAGAGGAGACTTTCGATATGTTTAAATAAAAACAAGATCCTCTTTTTTGAAAATAACCCAAACATTTTTCAAAAAGTGCCAAGGTGGGCCCTAATCCATAATTTTTCAGAGAGTTGGATTGATATTTTTCTATCACGGGGACTTCACTTGAAAGAAAACATATTCTTTTAATAAAAACCACTGTATTTATGCCAAGAAAGTACTCATGGTGAAAGATATGACTGACTAAAATCACTTGCCATACTGCACGTGGTCTTTTAATGAACTCTAAAATGCAATTTAGCTTTCGTAATCAGTAAGAAGGTCCTTGAGACATTCTGAAAGCCAATGAAATGCCATTTCTAAATTATTATGATACAAGTTACTGGTCGAAATATGCCCGTCATCTCAAGGGATTCCCTCTTATGGCAGGCATTTTTGCAATAGTCCATACAAGCGGGAAGTATACCAGTCGATAATCATAAATATAAATACGTTTACCCCTCATGTGTATCAACTGCGTCATCATTTAAGGGTACTGGATTATGATACGTGTATATTATTGCATGATTTTGTGTAGTATGCTGTATAATCGTATATGTAACTTTGATGTAAGTCTGCATCTTTAACTTGTCTTCAGACCCTGATACTTCCATTGGTTAAACTTAATGCTGGGGCTATATGTAGCCCAGCATAAGAATTAAAAAAGAGAAGTTTCTATGAATGTTCATCTCTCTCTGGTAGTAACTATTAACAAAGTTGTTGATTTTCTTTCTCAGAGATATTTCTTTTTCTTTTTGACGTTTCGTAGGATGTCCATCCTACTTCATCAGAAATAAAATTATATTTGAATCAAACTGAAATAATTAATTATTACAGGGTGGTCCAAAAAGTGAACCCCTGCAACAGGCCATATTTTCCTTAATACATGCATGAATTTGCTCATATTATCACATCTTGTAGAGAAAGGTCTAAAATTTTGTTGACACCATAATTTATTCTCAGTCTTGAATTTCGAAGAAACCATCAAATTGAAAATATGTTGTTGTCAAAGAGCAACAACTACATATTTTCAATTTGATGGTAGTTATTATGTACAGAAGGATGGAGCAGCGATGGGATCACCATTATCGCCAGTAGTAGCAAATTTATTCATGGAGGACTTAGAGCAAAGAGCTCTGTTTTCTGCAAACGAACTCCCTAAATGTTGGTACAGATATGTGGACGATACCTTCTCAGTAATAAAACAATCAGATGTTCGTGATTTTACTGTACACATTTGAATTCACAACATCCTAAGATAGAATTTACATTTGAGGAAAGTGTTGACAATAATCAAATGTGAGATGGATGGATCAGTGTCTTTGACAGTATACAACAAGGCATTAACATGACAAAATGTCACCACCTAGTTAGGTCATTGAAGGTCAAATGTCAAATCTTAAGTCAAATCTAAAGTCAGATTTGAACTTCTGAGAACACGTAGATGATTTTGAAAATTTTTTAGTCAATTTGAAGCAAGTTGAAAAAAGACCTTTTTGACCTTGAGAAGGTCATTGAAGGTCAAATGTCAAATCTAAAGTCAGATTTGAACTTCTGAGAACTTGTAAAGTCAAATTTGAACTTCTGAAAAGATGTAGATGATTTTGAAAAAAAAATTGGTCAATTTGAAGCAAGTTGAAAACAGACCTTTTTGACCTTTTTTGACCTTGAGAAGGTCATTAAAGGTCAAATGTCAAATCTAAAGTCAGATTTGAATTTCTGAGAACATGTAGATGATTTTGAAAAAAAAAATTAGTCAATTTGAAGCAAGTTGAAAAAATACCTTTTTGACCTTTTTTGACCTTGAGAAGGTCATTGAAGGTCAAATGTCAAATCTAAAGTCAAATCTAAAGTCATATTTGAATTTCTGAGAACATGTAGATGATTTTGAAAAAAAATTTAGTCAATTTGAAGCAAGATGAAAAAATACCTTTTTGACCTTTTTTGACCTTGATAAGGTCATTGAAGGTCAAATGTCAAATCTAAAGTCAAATCTAATGTCAGATTTGAATTTCTGAGAACACGTAGATGATTTTGAAATTTTTTTTTAGTCAATTTGAAGCAAGTTGAAAACAGACCTTTTTGACCTTTTTGACCTTGAGAAGGTCATTGAAGGTCAAATGTCAAATCTTAAGTCAAATCTTAAGTCAGATTTGAATTTCTGAGAACACGTAGATGATTTTGAAAAAAAAATTTAGTCAATTTGAAGCAAGTTGAAAACAGACCTTTTTGACCTTTTTTGACCTTGAGAAGGTCATTGAAGGTCAAATGTCAAATCTAAAGTCAGATTTGAAGGTCAAATGTCAAATCTAAAGTCAAATCTAAAGTCAGATTTGAATTTCTGAGAACATGTAGATGATTTTGAAAAAAAATTTAGTCAATGTGAAGCAAGTTGAAAAAAGACCTTTTTGACCTTGAGAAGGTCATTGAAGGTCAAATGTCTAATCTAAAGTCAGATTTGAACTTCTGAGAACATGTAGATGATTTAGAAAAAAATTGAAGTCAGTCTAAACAGTATTTGTTAAGTTATAGGAAGTTGTAAGAAATTGTTACAGACGCCGGACGCCGGACGCCAACCTCCAACCTCCAACCACCAACCACCAACCACCAACCGCCGTCGCAAAAAAACGGAGACCATAATAATATGTCACCACTTTTGGTGGTGACATAAAAAGAAAACGCATACTAATCAGTATTTAAATTATAATTCTAATCACACGTTGGCTACAAAGGCAGGTATAGTGAATACGCTGTTCAAGAGGGCCAGTTTGGTTAGTACTAGATCTGAAGATTTGTTGAAAGAAAAAGAACAGATCGTGAAGTCATTAAAAGAATGTGGGTATCCAGAGTGGTTCATTAAACAATGTGATGATATGAGCCGTAATAAGAAATAGAGATAATTTACCAGAGCCAGTTTGCACGGTTGTGTTATAGTGTTACCATACGTTAAAGGCCTCTCAGAACGGTTACGAAGGATACAATATTAGAGTATGCTTTTCATCTACAATGACTTTAAGGAATAAATTGGTCCATTTGAAAGACAGGGTTGAAGATGAGAAAAGGGCAGGTGTGATATATACTCATAGACATTGATCAGGGGCGGATCTGGGAAGCAACAGGAGGGGTGGGTAAATTTCAGAGAAAAAAACGTTTGCCCGTAAAACTCAAAAGTAGGCCCAAATTTTGAAGCCCATTTTTCTTCAAAATTTGGCCTGAAATTAAGGCCTTTTGGCCATAATATATTTTTGAGACGGTAACATCAATCAAAGGTAAGCAAACACCAGAATAAATAAACAATAATCGAAAGATTTCGTAAAGATAACAAATTGTAACACTTTTCCTAAATATTTAAAGTTAGAACTCTGAGCTCTAAATATATACCTTTACCTTCAATGAACGTTTGAAGTTTCTTTTTTGCAACATGCAGCATTCCCTCAGATGCGTCCAAGAGTGTTACATGCCCCAGTCCTTCCTTCAACAGGGCAAGACTGTAGTTCCCAGTGCCACATCCTGCATCTAACACATGAAGCTGGAAAAGACCAAAATGGAAATAATATTAAGAAAATATTAAAAAAGCTTTCGAAGTCATGGTATATACAGGGTGTCCCGAAAGTATGCCCCCCCCCCCCCTTAGCAGACGTATACCAATGTCTCCATAGTATGTGTCATATATCATTTTAAAGCATCCAAAGTTACATTGATTCGCAAAGTATCATGGTTTAACATACAAACGGTAAAAAGTTACAGACATTTTAAAACTTAGTGTTTACCCAAATATATAGTTCATTTCAGTTTCCTGGAAACAGCTCTGACTTGAATGTCACCGGAATGTCATCTTACGTGCTACAGAAGCCGGCTTCTACAGTCACCAAGAAGGCGGTTTTTAAAACCAGGCTTCTGCAGTCACCAAGAAAGAAGCCAGTTTTAAAAGCCGGCTTTTGACGTACTACAGAAGCCGGCTTCTGTAGTCACCAAGAAACTGGCTATTAGAAAACCAATTTGAAAGCTAGCTTTGGAAACAACAAAATATACTTTGAGCGGTTTTCCTGAAATGGCGATGACAAGATTTTTCGAAAAACCTTCAAAATGGCCGCCAGAAAACAAGATGGCCACCCAAAAGTTAATCAGCTCTAGTACTTCATATGCTCTATCATCTCTGCGAATTTGGAGAAAATCTGATGAGCAGTTTTCCTTAAACGGCGATGACAAAAAGCGGGACGATCACGACCACGATCACGACCACGACCACGACCAGGATGACGACTATATCCCACCGATGGTGTGATAAAAATACGCGAAAACGGCTCCTATGGCCCCTATGTCACTTTGACCTACTTTTGACCCCGTTTGACCTACTTTTTGAGATTTAATACAAGAAATAATTTATAATACCTCGAGAGTTTTGAATGACCTACAATATGATGGTACCTTACTATTGACGGTACCTCTTCAACTTTTGAAATGCCATGGGAGTCATCTGACCCCCCTCCGTCCATTAGTGTTAAGAGAAATACGTTGTACACTTTAGGGTTAACGTATGAGTAAACGCCGTCTAACACTACTCCCTGTCATCTTTTTAGGAATCATTGTCACAAAAATCACAAAAACGCACATGACATTTAATTTACACTTATCTTATTGTAGACTTATCAGCTTTAAAATGTAAGATATACGATACTTAGTGATTGAAATTTTCATTGAATTAATAATTTAGTGTCCTTTGCTTACCTGAGACAGTGGTTTCCTCGTCTGTCCGAGTAAGATTCCAATGAGTGTATCTGCCCCTGCAGCAACCCTGTGTTTATCATATACAGCTGCCCTCTTCTCATAGTCTTCATATATACTCATCTCTCAGCAATAGAAACGCCTGTCTCAAACAGAAAAAAAATTTCAAACACACTTCCTCTCCCTTTAACACGACAATACAGAATAAATAGCTCCCCTAGTTATTTGGTATTATCTGGTATTCATTTACACAGCCTATCAGAATCAAGTCATAATCACGAAAACAATCATGAATACATTTCGGAGCCGCGCATGCGAAGATGAATCGTGAATTAGATGACAGTTTTTTCATCATCATTTCTAAATTACGGTAAATTATGATACCTAGATAAAGGAACAGGTGCGTGTATGTTATGGTGTGAAACAGTGACATATAAGCGACATAATTTCTCAACAAAATAATATTTTCCTCCAAGAAAGGTCTCCGGGATAATAAATCATTAATTCGACTCTAATAAATAGTTTCCTAGGGTACAGGGCTCACGTGTAATTGATGGCCGATATGACAGAAATAAAAAGCAGTTTTTAAAAAAATTATTTAACTACTGTTTACGGGGACCCAGGTTTAAAACTGCCTCTGTTGTTGATTGACTGAGAGACAAATGGGCAAATCAATGTAACACCCCAGTCACATTTCCTACGGCGACCTTGCGGTCTATCATTTCTGCGGCCAGTAACATTTCTACGCTCGCCGTGGAATTTCTGCGCTCTCATACTTTTGCAGTCATATTTCCCACGGCAGCCGCACGGTGAATTTTAAATTTCTGTTGATAAATATTTACTTTTTTCATTTTATTTACATCGGGACAATTTATAAATGTTATGAATAGTGCTAGGATGTAATATCAAATGAAAAGTGATCGTGAAACATTGACAAATAATGATTCAATCTTGTTGAGCCAGTTGATTTCTACGGGGACCTCAGAAATGAACAAATATTAACTCCGAGTTATAATTTCTACGCCTTCCCTGCGGCCTGTAAAAATCTGCATTCGCCGTACGGAGGCCGCAAGGCGAGCGTAGTTTTTCTACGCTCGCCGCAGAAATTCACCGATTTAATTGATCTGCGGTCGACTTGCGGCCGCCGTGCGACAAATGTGACTGGGGTGTAACTTAAAATCAATGTAACCAAGATTTTTAACAAAATTATTTCATACAACTGCAACTACTCTTACACTCAGACATTTGCATATCTACACCATGTAGGTAGATTATAATTTGATTGTATTTATTTGTCATATCCAGTATTTAATCAACCATAGGTTTTAAACCATATAATATATAAACTTAACTAATATCACTTTTGGTAGCAGACGGACAGACAGACGGACAAGTGACAAAATTATAAAGATATAAAGGGTACGCTCTTCAGTGGTAGAGTGGTAATCAAAATAAGACTGAAAATGGATGGCATGAGTTCAGAATATTGTTAAGTGCAGACGAAACTATTTGTATGGTTGTAACTCTCTTTATATTAAGAGGCAAATAAATTATACATACATACATATAATGAAAAGGGAAGACAAATGTGTGTTTTAAGTTTTTTTATCGTTCATTTACTACTTGCCATGACTTTGAAAATATTTTTTTATCATTCATTTACTATTTGCCATGACTTTAATTTTAAAAGTTATTTTAGAGATTTTTGAAGAAAAATGAAAAAAAAGTTTTGAGCATTTCATTTCTCTTTCCCTTCATTTTTCAAAAAAGTTGATATTTTTTCATCATCAAATATTTCTTCATATATTTAAAAAAAGATTATCTTTTTAACACCAATGAAAAGATTGAACAAAGGACACACTATTTTGATAATAATATGCCATATATAATTTGCTACTTCAATGTTTTAGCATATCAAAAATATTTTGCAACATTAGTGATGTCATTATGACTCACTCAGTTGGCAAAACAAGAATTGATTTTTTTCCTTTGTCAATGTTTTCTAAATATGCTTCAATAATAATACAATGTTGATAGTCTAACCAAGATAAAAGGAATAATATATTTTGTTTTAGATATTATTTTACCATTGGTTTCTATGAGAACTAGATTTTTGAAATCCATTTTTCTCTGAACCATCTTTATGCACTGATAAGTTCACTTCTCGCTTATTTGTGAACCGATTTTCTAAATTTTTTCGGCATAATTCATGTAAGGTTGAATGCTTTGCATTGGTATGAATTGTAGCTCATTAAAAGATATGTGTGACCTCTAAAAGCTAGTTTTCAATAAATTCACGATTTTTTCCAACAAAAAGTCCTTAAAACCACTTTTTGAACTAAAAAAATTTTCACACTTTGATAACGTTGGGTAAGACTACAATATAAGCCAAAGTGGTTCAAACTTTATATTATGTGGACTAAGTTTCTGAGAGTTTGTCCTTATACTTTTTTCTTACGATGGATATTGTAACTAGATTTAAGTATTCTGTATACTGGAAATCCATTGGAAGCCCCTCCTACCTTACGAATGAATGAATGTGAATCGCTCCAACCTTCTTCAAAGGACTTCATTTATGCCTAAATTATATACTTGTAAAATACCCTTGCAGCAAGGATGGAATCGCTCAACAATAAGAACTTTTTGAGATTAAATAAAGCCCAGATATCTAAAGAGAATTATAAACAAACTATGTACATTCACATAAAAGACGAGAGGATTAGTCTTGCACAAGTGTCAAATCGTGTGTCCAAAAAAGGATTAGACAGCATGTTTTAATTATAATATTAATAAAAGCTAATTTTTCAAAACAAAGTCTATAATGGTTCACAAATTCTTCTAAAATGTTTTCATTTCTCAAAACGATTCACGTCATTATTAATAATAAAAAACTGCGAACGTTGATAGGGAATGGAATGTTTTCAACCGATCATTGAAAACATTCTGTAAAAAAATGGTATTTTATGTAATGTTGACTGATTGACAACAATTTAATGCGAAAATTATTTAGAAATATTTTATATAACTGTTTTTGTTTACATTTTTTGTTTTTTTAGTGCAATTGTTTTTGCTCCTTTCTACCAATTCTTGAGAATGAAATAAAATGTCTTTCCGAACCTTGTTGGAACAAAATAGCATATACAACATGTTTTTAGACCTCTCAATATTAAAGTTATACAAAGGAATTTTTGGTTGATTTTAAAAAAGTATTCAAAACATTAAAACAAAATCCCCCCAAAATAGATAAAAATCAAGAAAACCTTTTATTTCATTAACAAGACACTCTTTTAAAATCAACCAAAATTTCCTTTGTACAATTACAATATTGAGAGACCTAAACATGTTGTGTTTATGTCGTTTTGTTCCAATGAGGTTCGGAAAGATGTTTCATTTCACTCTGGAAACATGATACCAAGAACAAAACAAGTGTTTGATGTGTTTTTTAAAACAATATAGAGGAAAGTATGTATATCTATTTCAAATTATATTGTAACCATTCAAAAGGTGGCCATTAAATTGACAATTTGTAAGATTTTCAGAAATTTTTGATGACTGGTTTAAAGATTCTCGCAATCCTTATCCAATCAGCGTTTGCGAGTGTGTCGGCTCACGTATAAAAGGCGAATCCAACTCAAATCCATGCAGAGGTGTATGAGGTACTCGAATAGGAAAGAGCTCTTGAAATCTGAATTTATATGCACATGGTCAATGTTTACACATGTTTGGAGTTATTGAAGAAAATGTGATATGGGTGTGGTTCCGGATTTGAAGTCATTGCTGGAAAATATGATTTTAATACGTGAAATTATATCTATAAATACAGCACTAAAAATAACAGTACACATGAAGTACATGTATGATTGTGTCCAGTAATGTTTGAAACCCTTACGGAAAATTCTGTCTGCATTTTGTCACCATTGCTCTTTCTTCCCGCATTCTAGTGCTGTTTGAATGAATATATTAATTAATGTATTTCTAACTAAAATATATCACATTTTTTTATAAACCACAAACATTTAGATCATAAAAAAATTATTCAATACTTGAGTGAGCACGATATGCAAGGGTTACTAAGTTGACACAGTAAATGACCACTGACATTGTGTTAGTCCATGCACACAGCGTATTCTGCTAATATACATTTGCTAACACCCCCACTTTCATAGTGAAGTGACTAATTGGTTTATGTTTACGTTTTTTAAAAATGTGTTTTGGGTTCCTTGTTACAGCAAAGGGGGCCAGTAAAGTAGACTAAAATGTTTGCATGGCAAATTTTGATCGAATATGTGAGACACTTTAAGAGAAACGTGTGTTCAAAAAGTTCGCCATATCGATACCCATTCTTTGTCAGCCCCATAGATCTGATTCAGACTTTAAGTACAGATTATTTTTTATTTTCAATTCAAAGAAAGAAATAATATGTATTTTGAGCACTATGTATTCTTTGTTGCAAGGCATTGGAATTTAAAATAAAAAAAGGTTTAATTTTAGAGTCTATGGAGCACAATGGATATTTTTAGTACCAATTGAGAGTATTCGTGTAAAATATTTTACATACCATTATGAATACTCCTCTATCATAAAATGAAATGCCAAATAAAAATCTTTTGATTTGTAATCTTTTCAAATCATCACTTACATCAGTATTGAAGTGTGGGAATCGCATGTTTCAGAATTTGACATATTGAACTCTGAAGTCTCAATGAATTAGGAATGAGGATTTCTCCCTAAAATATCTCGTATTAATAGCAGCTCTAAATCTGGGGCACAATCTATACTAGACTCTCTCTTTGATTTTTGCAGAAACTATCGTCTTGTTGTCAACACTGTTAAAATAAAGGTTATTATTTTTAACTCGAAATCAGATGAGACTTTGAAGACTACAAATACCTATAGGACCTATATTTTCAACAGTAAAAATAATTTTGATAAACAAATATGCTATCTTAAAGAACAATCTAGAAAAGCTTTATCCAAAGTAAAGCAACAACACCATATCAGTTGCCTTACATTTATTTGATTCACTTGTCCAACCAATTTTGTGGGATCCACAGCCTTTACTATCCTTTTAGAATAGTTCAGACTGTGGGATACTGACTGTAATAAATGTTTTCTTTAACCCT